CCCCCTCCCCCCCAACTTTAAAAAAAAAAAAAAAAAAAAAAAAAGATTAAACATGACAATGAGTAGATGGGCAACTAAATCTGGTTAGCAGAATTTACCTCTCTGTTTGCCACAGGCCGCACGTCCTGTTAGTAACAGCTCTTACCCGAGGAGGTGACAATATTGAACAATTATTGTTCTGGCACCACTAGGAACACGTTATATTCACTGTATTCATGTGGTCCTCACAGCAGTCTGCTAGACAGATGCTGACATTATCCTGTTCATATTTGAGGAAGCTGAGGACCCCAAATCGCACTGCAGTCAGCTATGAAGCAGAGGTTTGAACCCAGGCAGTAGGCTGTGGAGTTCACACTCTTTTTTTCTTTTTTTTTGAGACCGGCCGCACCGCGCTCAGCCAGTGAGCGAACCGGTCATCCCTATATAGGATCCGAACCTGCGGCGGGATCGGCCCTAAATACCAAGATTTTCATTTAACGTTTTTGTTGGGAACATCCTATCATGCTGCATTATTGTGCATCAGAACTTGGTTTCTTGCAGCATATATCACAAATAGATTTTCATTTTTTGTGGTCCTGAGTGTTTATAAAACCATCTTGTTCCTTCTAAAATAAAGTAATTCTCCATCTGGCTATCCAGGATTTTGCTGAAACACCCCACCTGCTGCCCAGCTTGTTTGTTGCCAGTGAGGTTCATCTTGAGAAAAGGTGAATTGGAGAGCGGGAGTGTTGACAGATGTATACAGTTTAAAGTAGAAGTTTTTGTTTTGAGTTCAGTTCATGCAGTTAGCCTTAAAGTGTACTCTTAGGACTTTTTTATTCTCTCCTCCCAAGTGCATTTAGAGGATCAGGCTCTGTGGTGTTTAACATTTTAATGAGCAGTGTTCTTTTAATGTTTCAAAAGTGACACTTGGTCCTCATTTTAGTGTCTCTTATCCATGCCCTCCAGGAAATGCCAGCAAATGAGTCCTGGATCTGTCCTTAAAACTTGCTTGACTTTTAAAGTTTTATTACACTCAGCTAATTACAAAAATGACATTTTTTTTTGATGAGGAAAGTTTTAATACATGTTATGTACTTTTATGCTATCTACAAACTGGGAATTTACTGTCTCTTGAAAATGATTTATTTCTTTAGCATCGCTGTGAGAAGCCAAAGCCTTGTCTTTTCATGTCTTGTCTGGCTTTGGTGGGCGTGAGTCACATGGGTCTTGGAGTGGAGGCTGTGATGACCAGCCCTCAGGTGACATGTGGCGTGCATCAGTGGGAGCATCTTTCTGAAGGAGGTGTGGGGGGAATGGGGAGAGCGTGGGCTGAGTGCTGTCAGGTCCTGGCTGTCACTCTGGCCATTTGGTGGGAAGAAAGTCACTATTTGCTTTTGCCTTCAGTGTCTTTCCCTGTAAAATTGGTTTTTGTGAGAAATATGTGGAAAAATACAAGTGTAACATCAAGTGTTTGGTACGTAGTGGGCACTCAGAACACCTCTGGTTCCCCTACCTGAGTGTGTAGAAAGCAATGCCACCCAGCAGTGACACCAGACACACAGTGCAATCTAGAAAGGAAGCAAGGGGACCTTTGCTAGGCAGCTGTGTTCTTTCTGAAATGAGTTACCGCCGAATGAGTGGCCGACCAAGTGAGGCCGTCCTGTAGACAGGTCCCTGGACACCGAGGATGTGGCCACTGCAGTGTGGCTGGGGGCCCTGGGACAGCACTGTTGGTATGGAGCTGTCTCCTAATCACGACTGTACTTCCTGCTCAAATGTGGACTTTGCTTTTGTGTTTAGCACTAATTGTCAAGTGCTAGGCTTAATTCCAAAACTTAGTGCACTGTCTAACCTTATCAAGACCAAAAGGAAGTTGGTATGTGAACACAACTGATTTTTTAAAAATACTTAAATCCTAAGAGTTAATGTTTTAGGTTCTAGTTTCCATGTACGGCAATTAATTTGTGTCTCAGCTGTAATTCTTATTTTTCCTAAATGTTTTAGTTAATAAACTTGAGGAGCTGGTGTCCTCATCAGACTGCTGGTTTGGGCGTAAGTCCCAATGGGGAGGCGTGGTGTAGAGCGCTGGCCCTGCCGGCTGCTCCAGATGACAAGCGTGTGATTACTAAGTGGTTCACTCGGGCGTGTGCATGAACTTTATGATACTTCTTTCCTTTTCCTTCTAAATTCAGAAAAGAATTTAGAGAGAAATTCTGGTCATTCAGCAGAATTTCGGAGCATCCACGTTCTCTCAGCCTGGGCTTCTGCTGATGGAAGTAGCATGTCTCTGTCCTGAGCCGAGCACTGGAAGCAAGGCTTTATTGAGGACTGGGTCTGAGAAGCGAGGGTGTGTGGAGACTTGCCTGATGTGTCTCTCTTTCTCTCTCTTTCTCTTTGTTTGCGTTCTCATTTTTTCAGTGGAATACATGCTGGATTTCCTTTGAGAAACAAACTCCAGGATCAGTCCTGCTGAGCTGGCCCCTGGCTCCATGGCTGTTGAGGGCTGCAGTGCTGGGCCCTCTCTTCTGGGCAACAGGCCTGTGCCTCCTCACCTGAGCACTGCGGGTCTGGGGCTCTGTCCCTGGAGTGGAGGCTTGTAAGCGGTGGAAAGGGACTCTTGGCTGGGGAGGCATTTGCCTTTACAGAGGGGCTGGGACCACCGCCCTTAAAAGGTGCCCAGAGAGCACTTGTTCCCAGCTGGTGCAGGGGGTTCTTTGGGGAGAGCGTGGCATTGGAGACAAAGGTCTGTAGGGAAGTCGTGCGGAATCTAGGTTCTAGAAAAGACAAAGGCAGCCATCAGGGAGGAAGGCTGCAGTAGGCAAAGAGAGCAGCTGTGTCTCCCGAATAGACGAAAAGCTGATACAAGGCATGAGGAGGGTCAGCTGTGACCTGGCACCTGTGCCACAGTGCTTGGCTGGAAAGTGACTTATGCTATTGTCTTAAAACCAGGGTGACTGTACAATTTAGTGTCCAAACCAGGAAACTTTGGAGTATGAGAATGAGCACCGTTAATAGTTACAGTGAGTGTCAGGTGTGAACTGGGGCACGGGGCCACCCTCTTAGGAACTGTGAAAGAGGACAACCTGATCTGTCATGTTGACCTCTCCTAATGACATGTAGCAAAGCCAGGGCCCTGGATTGAATAACTACTTGTATCCCAAAGAAAGCTAACCATGGGAAATGTTATGTACCAGCAAAGAGGCAGGCGGGAGGCAGGCAGCAGCCAGGAGGGAGGGTGGCCTGGAGCTGAGGTGCCAGCCCCCAGCCATCCTGCAGCTCTGCCCCTGTGCTGGCCAGGCTTCGGCTGGAATGCCAAGGCTTGTCAGGATAGAAGGCTCCTGGGTTAACATTGTAGGGTTTTTAAACCTGGCTTTTCATCAGAAAAGCCCCAGGAACTCTGTAAAAAGTACAGGTTCAAGGCCTAGCCCCAGATTGCCCAAGTCCAGGTTTCCAGGAGAGAGGCCCGCGGATGCTGATGTGGGTCATCTGTAAGTAGTCCCAAGCCAGTGCTGGGGCTCACTGTTGGGTCAGAACCTTTTTTTGGATCAAGTACCTCTTTGATAACTTAAAGAACAGTCTGAGTCATCTTTCTGGGGGAAAAAATGAACACAAACAGAATTGTGCAGTTTTTTCTTTTTTATTTCCTTCTCTCTTTTTTTTGGTGGTGAGGGGCATAGGGATTCATAGATTCCCTGACCTTGGTTTAAACACCCACCCCCGTAAGTACTCAGGAAGTATAGTTGGGAGTGACGCGGGCAGGTCTGATGTTGGGATGATAAATGTCTCAGCACGGTGGAACCAGTTAAGGAACTGGGCAGGCCAAGTTGGGCAAGATGATGAGGAGGGGCCTGGGACGGAGGCCATGGAGGGGCAGCTGGTGAAAGTGCGAGGGTGCAAACCCACTGGGCAGTATGGGGGATGCCCGTGTGCCTGCACTGGTGGGGTGCCCCGAGGACCATCCTGGGGTCCGGCAGGACAGCAGCCTTCCTCTCAGTGGGCTCCTTCCCAGTTCTTGCTTTAATTCCCCCTCCTCCTTCCTATACCCCCTGGACCTGCGCTGTGATGACGGGTGGCATGCTGGCCACACTGTGCTCCTCTCAGGGGCAGGGTTCTGCTCATCAGGGCCATACAGCAGCGGGAGGGGGCGGGAGGGGGGGTCTGATGCCACTGTTGCTGCTGGTGGGGCTGGTGGCACCTCCATGCGGCTGCTGTGAGCAGGGACCCCGCCAGCTGGGTTGCCCTGCCCAGGACTTCCTCACCTGCTCTCTTGGCTCATCTAAACAGCTTTTTTCTGTGCTGCATAATGATGAGGTTGATTAAAACAAACATTTCAGTACAAAAGAGCTTATGTTCATCTTGCATGTGCGTGTAAATATGTTGTACTGGAGTGTAAGATAATGTTCCTTGAAGTGTGTGATATGTTTTTGGCATTTACTGTCTAATGGTGAACAGTTTGATTAAGTCGAGGAGAATACTTGAGGGAATTTGACATGGATGGTGAGGCCATGAGCTGCCCTTCTGGGCTGTCAGGTGTCGCGGTGAGTAACAGAGTAAAGAGTTGGGCAAGTGGCTGCACTGCGGGCCAGGCTGGGTCTCCCTTGGCCTGCCCTTCAGGGCCGCGGTGCTGGGGTGGTGAGTGAGCAGCAGAGAGTGACATTATTGTTTGCGTAGTATAACACTTGCAGGCCCGTTGCCTTTCTCAAGTCTAGAACCATTGTGTCGTGTAAATTCCTAGCACAATCACACAGAATCCTCATGTGGTGGCTGATAAACTTGCTGGTCGGCGTGGGCTTTGACGTGGTGCCTTCATCTGTTTGGGATCAGGACACTTATGCATTTGTGCCAGTGTATGTGAGTGAAGTGCTGAAATCTGGTCTTCAGTTAAGAAGTTTTAGGTTCTGGGGCCGGCCCGTGGTTCACTTGGGAGAGTGTGGTGCTGATAACACTGTATTAGTCAGGGTTCTCCAGAGAGACAGAATCAATAGGATATGTTATAATTATATGAGAGGGATTTATTAGGGGAATTAGCTCATGTGGCTATGAAGAAAAGTCCCATGATAGGCCGTCTATAAAGTTGATGCTGGTAGCGTGGCTCAGTCCAAGTCCAAAGGCCTCAGAACCAGGGAAGCTGATGGTGTTCTTGGTGTAAGTTCTGGAACCCAAAAGCTGAAGAATCTCAAGCTCTGATGTCCATGGACAGGATAGAAGAGTGTATCCCAGCTCCAGTGGATCGAGAGAGAGAGCTTCACCTCTTTCCTCTGTCTTTTGTTCTCTCTGGATCCCCAGTGGATTGGATGGTTCCCACCCACACTGAGGGTGGGTCTTTCCCACCCAGGCCACTCAGACTCTCATACTAATCTCTGCTGGAAACACGCTCGTGGACACACCTGAAAAGATTGCTTTACCAGATTTCTCAGCATTCCTTCATCTAACCAAGTTGACATCTAGAATTAACCTTCACAAACACCAAGACCACGGGTTTGGATCTCTATATAGGGATGGCCGGTTAGCTCACTTGGGAGAGCGTGGTGCTGACAACACCAAGTCAAGGGTTAAGATCCCCTTACTGGTCATCTTTAAAAAAAAAAAGAAGTTATAGGTTCTGTATAGTATTAGGTAGCTGATTTTGTGGTGAACTCAGAAAACCATGCAGACCTGAAGAGGTTGAGACACTGTTGTAGCTAAGCAAATGGAGGACAGAAAGCCTGTTAGTCTTGCCCTTGTA